CCGGTCCTCTTCCCGCGACCACTCCTTCCTGGTGATTCCTGGGGTGCCGCTCGGCGCCAGCGTCGCCTGCCGCTTCGCGAGGCAGATGTGCCCCTTCTTTGGCGCGCCGCACCGCTTGCACTTGTACACTTTGTACTTGTTGTACCCGGGCCTCTTGAGCTCCGCTCCTATTGCACAAAGGTGCCACGGTCAGCGCCTCTGCCACCGCCGCTGCCTCCTGACCGCCGACTCTGCCTCCGCCGCCGACTCCGCCGCTGCCTCCGCCGCTGCCTCCGCCGCTGCCTCCGCCGACTCCGCCTCCGTCGCCACCTGCGCCGGCCCTCACCTCCCGTGCCTCTGCCACCGCCGCTGCCTCCGGACCGCCGACTCTGCCTCCGCCGCCACCTGCGCCCTCGCCTCGCGCGCCGCTGCCTCCGCCGCTGCCTCCGCCGCTGCCTCCGCCGAGCCCCCCGATCTCGCGCTCGATGGCAACGTCGCACAGCCACTGTAGTGCACTCATCCCGTGGGTTGCGCCGCCGCGCTCGCAGCCAATCTTATCGCAAACGTCGACACGTTGAGGGCTAAGCGGCGTGGTTGTCGAAGGCAGACGCCGGCTCAGTCAGAAGGGCTCACTGCAGGCGGGGAGAAAAAGAATTTTACAAGTGCGAAAAAGAAAGAAACGCCGATTTGCTTCAAGCTGACTGGCTCTTCAAGCAGCCGCCTGTGAGGCGTCCTCCCCCCTGACTGGCTCTTCAAGCAGCCGCCTGTGAGGCGTCCTCCCCCGCTACCACCATTCTCTTGCAATTAGCATCTCGCACCCTCTCGCCGCAGTGCGGGCAGACCGGGGGCGTGCCGAGCGATTCTTCAAAGAGATGACTCGCCTTCTCCTCCGTTTCTGTCGCGAGGCGGTCGAGCGCCTGCACCACACCGTGCAGCTGCCCGGCTCCGGCATTCTGGATGGACGCCTCGAAACTAGTCGCCGCCTCTCGGCGCGTCGTCGCCTGCTTCGCCTCCGCCTCGGCCTCGGTCCGGAGGCGCTCCCTTTGCTGGATCAGCGGCCCCGCGATCAGCTGGTTGAAGCACGGGTCGCACACCCAGTGCATGCCTGTGGCGGGGAGGAGCTCCTCCGCACGTGTGTTGTGGAGGGGGGGGAGGGGGGGCGAGGCGCGCACATGGGTGCAAGCTCCACCATTTGACCGATCGGCTCTCGTCAAAGTACTCGAGGCAGAGCCCTGGCGTGTGGGAGCAGCAGTCCCGCCGCCCCACCGCCCTGTTGGAGCGGTCCTCGACCAAGTGATTCCTCACCATCGCGTCGTGGATGCGGGCGAGGATGCACTTGACGCCCCACACCACCGAGTACTCCTCACCGACCCTCTCGCCAACCACGTCCCTGCGCGGCGCGGGGGAGGGGCAGGCTATGATGGCTCGGCGCGTGAGTTGGCGGCGGCGGCACGCGCACCACGCCCAGCAGTGCTCGAGGCTCAGGCCGTGGAGCTCCTTTGCCACAGCCTGCAGCAGGCTGAGCCCCTCGGCGGAAAAGAAGAGCCGCGCAAAGTTGCGCGATCCGGCTCGATGCTCCGGGCCCAGCGCGCTGCACTCATGCTCCGCAAAGCCAACGGCGACTCGCTCTAGCGCGCCGTCCCGGAGGCCTCGCAGCGCAGCCCACGCGGCCTCGTGCTCGTGCTGGCCGCAGCCCTCGCCGAGCGACTTGGAGTGGCTGCGCTGGCCCACGGCGCGCACCATCTCCCGGCCGTACCTGAGCGAGACGCGCTCCTCCTCCAAGAGCTCCTTCTCTGGCCGCAGCTCCTCGAGAGTCGGCAGCCGCTCCGTCTCCCAGACCTTTGGCGCCAGCCAGATTTTTGCTAGGCTCGGGCTGGTGCGCGCAGCAACTTCGCGGAGGATTCTCCTGCTCTCGTCGTCCGCAGACGGTGCGCTTCCCGGAGGATCCCCGCCGCCATCGTCCTCGTCCTCCTCGCACGCCTCAGCACAACCTTAGCGCGGCAGGACAAGAGGGCTGGGAGGGGGGTTCGAGGAGGCGCGCCGGAAGAGCGGGTTGTTGTCAGGAGCGGGCGCCGCCGGGACGGGGAGCAGGGAGAGGGACCTGCCGTCGATGAGCCCCCCTTGACCATGCCCACAGGCCTTCCCACAAAAATAAAGTTTTTCGGCCCCTCGGAGAACCGTGTTTATTTTACGGCCCTTTCCCTGCGAACGCGCACCCCCGGGGCTAGGGCTCTCTAGCCCGTAACCCGATCCCGATCATCCGGCCCGCTGGGTGCGCTTCTGAGCTCCCCGGCCCTGGATGTGAGGTTACTGACTGCACTCCAAGTGCTCCACACGCTTGCGAATGCTTGGTGAACCGTAAAAGTTTGTTGAACTTTGCATATGATCTCTGCCGCTCTTTCCCGTTAAATTGCGTGGGGCGACAAACACTACCTTTCGGGCTACCTTTCCAAATGCATATCGGAAATGGATAAGCCCCAACGTCGGGACACCACGCACGCATCCTTTGTGGTTGGCTGTTTTCTTTCATTCTTTGTTTTACGATAGGAAAACTTTTCGAAATCCTCCAATCCGTACGTATCTCCAATCCGTGTATAAGTCATGCCAAAACCCTATGAGCACTTGAGCACTGGATAGGGTCGATTCCGCATGGTACGGGACCCCTCGATCGTCTCGCCCTCCCTCACTCACTGGCGTGTTCATTGGGGGGGGTCATAACAAACACGGTACAGGATCGAGGGTGCACGCTGCTGAAGCAGTGTCGTCCCCTCTTGAGCACTTGAGCACTTGATAGGGTCGATTCCGCATGGTACGGGTCCCCTCGATCGTCTCGCCCTCCCTCACTGGTGTGTGTGTTCATTGGGGGGGGTCATAACACACACTCGTCCCTCTCTCTCTAGGCCTGCTATCGCCTGGTTTCGGGCTCCTGCTATCGCCTGGGTGGGCCCGCTCGGGGGGTCTGTCTGCCTTGTTTGGCCCAAAATAGGGCCCCCTGCACTCCTCTGTCACCCACAGTGTGTGGATGCTGACGTGACTTTACCAACGGAAAACCGTAAATAAATAAATACATAAATAAAACGGACACCTCTCTACTGTGAGATGGGTAAAAAGGAACAGGTCCCCGCCCGTGCGATCTTTGTGCAGGGTTCTTTGTGGGTTGTGGTCGGCGACTAGCCGGGGTCGTCCTCCCGATGGGGCGAGGGTGGGCGATGGCTAGCACCACACTTCTCCCCTTGAAATCCCTGTGTGGTGGCGGCGTGCCGTCCTCCCATCCCTCCCTTGCGGTGTCTGTTTTCTTTTTTTAGCGGCGAGGGCGGTCGAGTGCACGGAGCTAAGTGCCTCGCCGTCCTCGCAGGAGTCGCTTAGGCGGCTCCCGTGGGTGTACCTGTGTTAGTGCCAGTGCGCGCCAGTCCCGTGCCCAGTGTTGTGCGAGGGAGTTTTGTTGTAAACTTCTTTTTTTAGGTGGGGACGTGTCTGTCCTCGACGTTTGAGACACACAAAGATTTCCTCATACATACATACATACAAAGAGGATAAGATTCAGTCTGGGGTTATCGCCCTCGGGTGCAGGGCGGGGACCGCTCATTTCACCGTGCCCATCTGTGGCCTAGGGAGGTAGGTAGGTAGGTAGTAAGGTGAAGAACAGCCAGGCTCGGACTGGACACCAACGCGGTATGGGTGGACGCTGGACAGATGATGACGACACGCACGAGCGACACACAGACACAAACAAGCTCACAAGACACACAGCCAGCTGGCTGCCACACACCCTGAGTCGGCGTACACATAACTCAGGGCCACATCCTCCCTGTCGCCCCCCCCAGCACTCCACGGTGCCAAGGGCACAAACAAGGGCACAACTCAAAACAACAGACGACAAGAAGTGACATGTGAGGCTAGAGCAGCATGCTCCACCTCTAGCAATCTCGCCGGCCGCAAGGCACGGACGAGACCGTATGTGGGGTCTAGTGAGGTGTCTATGGACGCTCTCCTCATGGGCTAGCTGCCTGCGGCTAGCCCTAATCTCGCACTCACGGACAGTGACAATCAAATGGGTGAGTGTTTGCAGGAACTAATAAAAAGAATTCGCTCGGCGGGGTGCAGAGTCCGACTTGTCGCAACATCCCGCATTATCCTGCACGATGCGGCCCAACTGGCTACTCGCAGCTGCTCTTGTCCTCGCACTGGCCCTCGCCGGCACTTCTGTATGTAGGTCCACGATTGTCGGAATTGGCGAAGCTCTCCGCCGCGCCCTGCTGCCCTGTGGGCGTGCCAATGAGACCGCTGCCACTGCCGCCGGCGGATTGGGTGCCGTCTTTGTGAACGCTGCGAAGGATTTCCCTGAACTCTCGCCTCGCGTGCTCTCGCGTGATCCGTGGATCGTAGCCTTTCAAGAGTTTGCGTCGGATGCGGAGATGGACGGCATTCTCGCCGCCGCGCGGGCACAGACGCGGGGCGATTTTGTGCAATCGCTGATGGATGACGAGGACGGCGACGTTGTCCGCTCGTCGCAGCACATTTGGTGCGACACGCCGACGTGCATGCAGGACGCTGACGTCGTGCGGCTGATGTCACGCCTCTCCACAGTCACCCGCACTCCGGCCGCCAACGCCGAGGTGCTGCAACTCCTTCGCTACGACGAGGGCCAGCGGTATGACGTGCACAACGACTACACTGGCGGCGGGCACGACGGGGCGTCGGGAGGGAGGCTCTTCTCCTTTGTCCTCTTCCTGAGCTCGCCCGAGGAGGGGGGCGAGCTCCACTTTGCGGACGTCAACCTGACCATCCGAGCGGAGAGGGGGGCGGCGGTCCTGTGGCCGTCCCTTTCGGCGCAGGATTTTGATTTGCCCGAGCTCCTCTCTCACCACGCGTCCGTGCCCGTGAGGCGCGGGCAGAAGCTCGCCGCCGTGACGTGGCTGCATTTGTACGACTGGCGCACGCTGCAACTCGACCGCGGGTGCGCCGAGTCCCTCGGCGCGATAATCCCCCCGTTTGCGCTGCTGCCAAGGTATCTGGCGGCGCGCGAGGCGGCGGGCCTCGAGAGGATCGTGCCAAGCTCGATGATCGCGCAGGCGCAGCGAGCGCAACGGCAGGCCCAGGCGCGGCGCGAGGCGCATTCTGTGTGAAAATCAGAGCTTCTGTGCAGGGTGGGGCGCCCCTCTCCCATCGTGTCTTCTGTGAGGGCTCCATTTTATGTCCGCCGCATCGCGTCCGCCGCCGCCGCGTTGCAATATTGGTCGAGCGTGTCTCCATCAAAATTCGTTTCACGCGGACAAACGAAGGCAACGGACATCGGACGTTCTCGTCGCCAGAACAGCTCGAGAGCGGGGACGATGAGCTGCGGCTCGCGTTTGGGCAGGGGCTGTGGGGCGGCAGACTGCCAGACGACTGGCAGGTGATAGACGCGGAAATGTACGCGGTGCTGGCTTACCTGCGTAAGATGGCAACGGCGGAAGATGCGGCGGACAGGAGGTGCCTCGTCTTGAGCGACTGCAAGCCCGCGCTACAGCAGATCGAGGCGGCGTACCGAAAAGGCTCTCTTGAGGGGCTCAGAGGGAATGGGGCCGAGGAGGAGTGTTAGAGGGGATATGCAGATATCGCGCCCAGCTCGAATCTGTCACGTTCCTGTGGGTACCGAGCCACGCGGGGTGCGCTAGCAACTCCTACGCCGACGCAGCGGCGACTGCATACATGGGGGCCAGCGAGATTGAGGATGCCACCGCCGTCTCAGCCCACGTGATTTGCTCCGTGCGAGCGATGTCGCCGCGCAACCCGGCAACCGCTGTTAGGCCCAAAGTTAACGTTTGACGTTTGACAGCTCTAGGTCTCACACCCAGACCGAGGACGCCGACGAGGACGCCGACCGCTCCGAGGATTATTCCGACGACGGGAGGGTGTCCGACTAGCTGGCCTCACCCAATATCTTACCCCTTCTGCCCCCCCCTTCCTGCGACCCCCCAGGCTAGATGGAGTAGTCACAGATAAGCCGGATAAAGATTCTGCCCCACACAGCCCCTTACCCCTTCACCCTCGCCTCGCTGCTTCGTGTTTCTGAACACACGTAGTCGTCCACGCTGTGGGGGTTGTGTGCGGGTTGTGTCTGGGAGGGAGGGAGTGGGGTGCAGGTTGCTCACCCACGGCACCGGGCCGGTGCTTGCACTTTGAATGCCGTGGGGCTCCTGCCCGTGTCCCGGGCGTGGAGATGCGAGGGTCGCCCCCCCTTGCCCCACCACTTTGTGTGTGTGGAGACGTTTACCTTACCTTACCTTACCTTAACTCAGTCTCAAAGAGACGCAGACGGGCCGAAACTCAGACGCGAGACGGGGCCACTGGTTGGGTAGTAGTCTAAGTTCTGAGCCTGGAGGCCTAACGGGTCTAAGTGTGGCTAGCCACGCTGGAGTGCTTGCGCGGTCTAAGATCAGCGGGAGCCTCTTACATCGGCTAAGTCGGCCGTGGACGGCCTGGGGCCAAGAGGCTCCCACCGCGATCAACGTACAAATTTTTCGGGTAAACCTGAAAGCTTTTCAGGCATACCCGGGTTTTACCCGGAGTTGGCCTTATGTCGTCTAAGTTCATGGCCCCCGACCATGGGGGTCTAAGTCCGAGCCCGGCTCCGTGCGGGGGCTAAGTTGAGCGCTCGCTCGCTGCAGAGGCTAAGTGTAGAGCGACCCTCTTGCCTCTAGCCCTACTCTACCCAACCATTACGGGGCCGAAACCAGGACTACAGCAGTCAGCACGCGACCGAGGAGACTGGTCGGGTCACGCCCTCGATCTCTACCCGCTGGGCCGCGGCAACATCCCCAACAAACAAAAGAAGGAAAATCGACGAGAAAACTCCCTCGGCATCGCGCGCAAGTGTTACGCCGCAACAGTCAACACACAACACTGGCATACGGCTCGGCTATCGCCGATACGTATCGCGCGAGACCAGCGCGCTTCAGCGCGCTTGCCAAAAAACGGTCTCGCACGACTCGCGCACCTCACATGCGGCCACAAGCCGCCCACGCGGCAGCCCGTGGCGCCGGCGCCGCGCCGCGCTCCACTGCGGCCCTCGGGCCTCCTCCCGCCGCCATGGTGGGAGGACAGGGTAAGTAGCTCGGGCAAGGCCGGGCGCAGCTTAGCCGCGCGCCCCCTACGACCGCTTGAGCGGCCACCGGCCCCCTCGGCCTGTGACGCCGCCCGGCCGCCTCCCTGGCTCGGCCAGCTTCGCCTCGAGCGTCGCCTATTCAACACTCCGCGCTGTGAGGAGGAGCAGTTGTCCGCGTCTCGGCCTCGCCAGGTAAAATTGGAGCGTCGCCGCGTAGTCGTCGAGGATTCGAGGCAGCAGCGCCATCCTGACTCGCGCCGCAAGGAGCCCCGCCCAGCGGCCGCCGCGCCAGCCTGTTTGGCGGAGGAGACGGTTGTCAGTCAGGAGACGGTTGTTCAGAGGCCGAGCGAGCCGGGAAGAGAGAGAGAGAGAGAGAGAGAGAGAGAGAGAGAGAGTGAGAGCGAGAGAGAGAGAGAGAGAACGAGAGAGCGAGACAGCGAGTATGAGCGAGCGAGCGAGTGAGGAGAGGAGAGGGAGAGGCAGAGACGATGGACCGAGGAGAGAGGACAGCCAGGAGGGTGGTGGGTCAGAGTGGGGGGAGGCGCGAGCCTTCCACCCCGCTCGCCGCCGCGCAGAGCAGCGCCGACACCACCAGCCGGGAGACCCTGCCGGGCGACGCGAGCGCGCCCTTCCAGATGGTGCGCCGGAGGTGCGGCCGCAGCGGCTCGATGGCGCGGTAAAAGGTGAGCTGGCCTGGCGAAGGTCAGGGAGGAGGGGCGGGGTGAGAGGAGAGGGGAGCAGCGGGCGAGAGGCGAGGGGGAGGTGAGCGAGAGGAGAGGAGTGGGTGAGAGGAGAGGGAGAGGTGAGCGAGAGGAGAGAGGAAGGTGACTGAGAGAGGAGAGGTGGAATGAGGAGCCGCCTGCGCCTGATGGCGGCTTGTAGCATGGCAGCAGCACGTCGCGCAGAGGCGGAGGCGTGATCGATATCCAGGCGTGCGCTGCTACCCAAGAGATGAGCGAGACTCGCGTCGCGAGCCACTCTCGCAGCTCCTCGTGCGCACGCTCCAGCCTCACTGCGTGCGCTGCCAGGTGTGAGGCGAGCCAGTCACGCTGATCGGCGACACAGCCCTCATCGTCGCAAATCGCGGACTCTAGCTTGCAGTAGAGCGTACGGGCCTCCGCCTGCACGAGGGAGCCGACGCGGGCCTGAATGGCCGCGCACTGCCTCTGCTGAAGCTGCCGCCACTGCTGCTGCTGGGCGAGGACTTCCCGGGATGTAGAGCGTGCGCTCGAGAAGCTTGGGTTTTGGTCGACCGGACGTAACGGTGACAAGGCGAGGCGCAGGGCGCTGCCGGATGGCAGCGTCGAGGTGGCGACGGCGAGAAGGAAGATGGCCATCGTTCAAACAAGTCACAGCCGCGAGCCGCAGCGAGACCTCCACGGCAGAGCGTTTTCTTTCGCGCGGCGAGGCACGTCATCGGCTTGGAAGCTCGTTAGCGAGCTCCGCCTCGGACTGTGCGGCGCGAGGCAGCGGCCAGCGCCGGCCAAGATGCGCAAGCCTGATGGCTCGCTCGCCGCCTCGCCCGAGGAGAATGCCGCCGTCTTCCGCTCGAGCTTCGGGAAGCTGTACGGGTGCACGCCCAGCTTCGACGCGTCCATGCCCGAGCTGCTGCGGCAGCGCCCCGTCGCCGCCGACTTGGACCATCCACCGACGGAGGAGGAGACGCGGGCCGCGCTCGGCAAGCTGCGCGACACTGGGCCCGGCGACTCTGGGCTGCCAGCTCGCTTCTGGAAGGCGCTAGGCGCGACTGCCGAGAGCTTCCGGCTCGTGCACAACATCGTGCTGGCCTTCTGGGAGACCGAGGAGATGCCGACCGAGTGGGAAACGGGGCTGCTTAAGATTCTGCCCAAGAAGGGCGACAAGAGCGACCCCGCCAACTACAGGGGCATCATGCTGCTCGAGGTGGCGTACAAGATCGTCGCCAACATCGTGCACATGCGGCTGCAGGTCATCCTCGAGTCACAGGTATGGAGGCGTTCACCGGAACAACCTTTTCTTTTTCTTGGACTCTGGCGAGTCCCGTGGTGTGTTGCGTCCAGCCCGGTCGAGAGGCGGTACAACTGTATAGCCCGAGCCGACTCCGCGTCTCTCGAGGGATCTCGAGTTGCGGAGCAGCGAGAAGCGGCTGCGGCTATAGCAGATAGATGTCGCTGCACGGCAAGAAGAGGCGCATCGTCGTCTCCTCCTCTGACGAGGATGATGAGGGGCCTGCCGCCGCTCCAAAGCAGCGGAAGCGGAGGAGTGAGCCGGCGACTGCGGCTGAGATCCTGCGCGCCGCCGAAGCGTGCAAGCGAGACGTGCTGGCCGCGTTCCCAGAGTACAAGCCGGCGCTGCGCGGCGTCGCCATCGAGGTGTCCTCGCGGATGCAAACCTCCGGCGCCAAGACGATATTTAACGCGGAGACGCTGCGGCCGCGCTGCGTGCGCATCTCCTCGCAGGTCTTTGGCGAGCGCGAGAATTTGGAGACGGCGCTGTCCGATGTGGTCAGGCACGAGCTGGCGCACGCCATCGCGGGCCGCGAAGCGGCGCACGGGAAGGAGTGGCGGCGCGTCTGCCGCCGCATCGGCGGGAGCGCTGCTCTCTACCACACGCTCTCCTGCCAGGGCTGCCAGGGCGACGACCAGGAGCCACCGCAGCGGGGCAGAGCGCAGACGCCGGCGGCAACAGCGCAGCCACGTGCGCGAGCGCGAGGCTCCGGCAAAAGGTCGGCTGGCGCAGACCGGGACGCGCGGTGGAGGTCGGCGTCTGACTCGCTGATCTCGCGGCTGATCCGGTTCTGAGCGGGGCTGTGCGTTTGTATTTTAAGGTGTCACACGAGTGTTACGGTCGATGAGAAGGAGATAGGTGTGAAGGCGTGTGGAAGGTAAGGTAGAGCCGTAAGTGGTAAGGACTCGTAAGGTCAGGTAAAGGTGAGGAAAATAGAAGTGAAACTAAAACGGACACCTCTAGCGCTTGGTACTAGCGTACTACTAGGAGAGTGGTAAATGGAGCGCTACTATTGCCGGCCGCGTTGTTTGCCGGCCTGGGAGACGTGGTCAGTACTGTTATGTATACGTACCGGCCCTATATGCACCCGTGTGTCCTGCCTATGCATTGGCAGGGTCAGACGTCGCGCGAATGCATAGTCCATAGCGTGTCTTATGCAATACGTACGATGTTTTCGCCTTTATGTCTCAGCAAACAGTGCAGCGCTGCCGATGTCGCATTGGCGCTATGAGCTATGCATTACGTATCCGTATTATGCATCACTCAGCGGCGCCTGCACGTGGGAGGGCTATGGACTACGCATTACGTATCCGTATTATGTATCACTCAGCGGCGCCTGCATGTGGGAGGGCTATGGACTACGCATTACGTATCCGTATTATGTATCAAGCACCGAAAGCCCGCCGGAGAGGGCTATGTACTACGCATTACGTATCCGTATTATGTATCAAGCGCCGAAAGCCCGCCGGAGAGGGCTATGTACTACGCATTACGTATCCGTATTATGTATCAAGCACCGAAAGCCCGCCGGAGAGGGCTATGTACTACGCATTACGTATCCGTATTATGTATCAAGCGCCGAAAGCCCGCCGGAGAGGGCTATGTACTACGCATTACGTATCCGTATTATGTATCAAGCGCCGAAAGCCCGCCGGAGAGGGCTATGTACTACGCATTACGTATCCGTATTATGTATCAAGCGCCGAAAGCCCGCCGGAGAGGGCTATGTACTACGCATTACGTATCCGTATTATGTATCAAGGGCGGCGAGTGCTGGCGCCGCGATGTAAGTGTGTTGGAAGCAGGCGAAACACAGTCAGACCTACGACTGGGACACCGGCTGCCACCGTAAAATTAATGTATGTAGGAAGGTGAAGAACAGTCAGGCTCGGACTGGACACCGACGCGGTATGGGTGGACGCTGGACAGATGATGACGACACGCACGAGCGACACACAGACACAAACAAGCTCACAAGACACACACAGCCAGCGGGCTGCCACACATCCTGAGTGGGCGTACACATCACTCAGGCCACGTTCCCCCTGTCGCCCCCCCCAGCACTCCGTGTGAGTGACACACACACACACCCAGCACTCCAAGGTGCCAAGAGACAAACAACAAAATTAAGGACTCGGGGGCACAGGACGCAAAAACAAACGGCACGTACGAGCTCGTACTAGTACGGGACACAAACGCCATTTTGTATCGCGCGCCTTGGGGGGGGGGCGCGGAAAAGAGGAACCTCTTAGCGCCATCGCCACGGTGCTGCATGCAGCGCCGGGCGACGACGGCTTACCGCCTCCCGGTCCCCCTCGGTCGGCACACCTCCGCTGCTCAATGTTTGACGGCTCGAACCCGTGAAGCGCCAGGACACGGGGAGGCACCGACCGGTAGAAAAAGACCGGGGGAGCGCCTCGCTACCCAACGCGGCCAAAGGATATCCACCTCGTACAACCTCGTTCTCGAGAGAGACCCGTGGAGGCCGGGTGGGAGCGGGGGGGGGCGAAGTCGGCGCGGCCAATGCCGGTGGGACTCCCCCAGGCGAGCCATGGCCACTGCACTCACGTGGTACACAAAACAGTCAGTCGACGCGCTCCGCTCGCTCTTCGAGTCGCCGCCTTCGAGTCGGACCGGCTACCTGCTGGTGCCATCCGCGGCCGGGCGTGAGAGAGAGACCGGCGTCGGCTGCGGCCGCCCTCGCTCGACCAGGCAGGCCGTTGCCGTTGCCGTGGCCGCTGTGAGCGCCGCCATGGCCAGCGAGGGGTGCAGCAGGGCCTTCTCGGCCATCAGTGGCGGCGTATCGGCGCTGCACCGGGGCTCTGCAATCATACTGCTCCTGTTCCTCGTCTTTCTCGGCATCGCTGCCGCCATCGCCGACGGGGTGATCACCGCCGAACGCGCGGCGAGGGTGTGGTCCGTGGTGCTGCCGGGCGTGCCGCTCGTCGCGCTGCCGATCTCGGGCCTGCTGCTCCGGGACGACGAGATTTTCGCGCTGGTCGGCGGGCAGAGCGCGGAGGCGCTTAGCTTCGAGCGGCTGTCGGGTTGGGTGGCGCCGACGCCCTTCCTGTTGGGGGCGGCGCACTCGATGATGCCCCGCGCGCTGCGGTGGAAGGGCAAGGTCGCCCTCGCCTGGCTCTGCCTCCACGCGCTCCACACCGCCGTGCTGGCGCGCCCCCGAACTCGCCCGGCTTTGGCGGGGTCCAGGGGCGCGAGCCCTCCGCCGCGCACCGTCTCTCGGAGCTCCGCAATAGGTGGCGCGCATCGGCCCAAGCCCGAATCTCTGCCGGCACATGCTCTACCGCGCGGTCGCTCTGGCGGCCGGCTTCGGCGGCGGCGAGCTCACCGCTTGGGGCTTGCGCGGCGACGCGATTCGGGCGCGGCTGCAGGCGGTCCGCGGTCGGCTGCGCCGGAAGGTGCACTCTGCGCAACCACTCACCGAGGCGGAGGAGGAGATGCAGGCCCTCTTGCTGCGCGAGGATGGCCGCTCGCTGGCCGACGAGCAGGTTGCTGCTGCCGAGGTGCGCGCGCCCTGCCGCACGGCTTCGGCGGTCCATCGAGCTCGCGAGGGCAGTGGGGCCGCCGCCCAGCGCCTCGTGCTCGGGCGGCTGCTCGGCCGAGGCGGGTTTGCAGATGTGTACGCCACCGAGTGGGACGGCAGGCCGGCCGCCGCCAAGGTGATCCGACACGCCGATGCGCGGGATGGGCAGCGCGTGCGAAGGGAGGTGTCGTCGCTGCGCCAGCTGCGCCACCCGCGGCTCGTGGAGCTCCTCGCGTACGCGCGGCTCGACTGCGGCTCCGACGGCCTGCAGCACGTACTCCTCCTCGAGCTGATGGCCGGAGGCACGCTCCACGACTACCTCAAGCGCGCAGGCGGCGCCGCCGGGTCGTCGCGCCAGCTGCGGACGCTGCTGACTGACACGGCGACCGCCCTCGCATGGCTGCACGGCCACGCGACGCTGCACCGCGACGTCAAGGCGTCCAACGTGCTGCTCGATGCCTCCCACTCGCGCGCCAAGCTGGGCGACTTTGGGCTCGCCACCACCCACTACGGCGAGCTCAGCCAGACCCCGGCCGTCGGCACCTGGAGGTACCTCGCGCCAGAGGCGTCGCGGCACGCCGGCGGAGGAGGCCGGCGGAGCAGCATGTGGCACACGCCCGCAAGCGACGTGTACAGCTTCGGCCTCCTCCTCTTCGAGGCGACCTACCGCGAGCCCGCCTTCCAACTGCACCGCTCCGGCTGGTGTGCGCACCAGGCCGCCGCGGCCGGCGAGCGGCCGACGCCTCGGTGGCCTCGCGCCGCCGCCGGCGGGGCTGCGCTCGGCGTGCTCGGCGAGTGCGCGGCCGAGCTGATGCAGCGCTGCTGGCACCGCGAGGCTTGCCGGCGACCGCACACGGAGGAGGTGCTTTCCGCGCTCTCTTCCCTCGCGGTACCGGCCGGCGAGCCCGTGCCGTGCGAGCCGGTGACATGTCCAGGACACGTCCGCGACATGTCCGGGACATGTCCTGCAGGCGAGCCCGTGCCGTGCGACTCGTGGCTCGACGCGGAGGACGGCGAGGGCGAGGAGGAGGGCAGTGCCTCGCTCGGCGCCGCGCCGGGCAGCGGCGGCTGCAGCGTCGGATCTTCGTACCACAGCGACAAGGTCGAGGGCAGCTACTACACCGAGAGGACCGGCGCGTCGCGCGATCCGCAGCTCGAGATCGAGCACGAGATCGAGATCTAGCACTCACCATGTTTGGGTTCAGGCTCTTTGGGGGGGTAGGATACGCTGCGTGCCAGGCTGGCCTGGGGGCGTCGGGGCGCGCGAAAACATCTCTTGTCTCAAAATACTCAAACTATCACATTAGCACTCAGAGTTCTCAGTCTCCGCTCTCTCGAACGCAGAGGCACGTCGCCGGACACACACCTCCTCCACCTCTCTCAGAGCGATCCCTACCGTACAGCTGTGTAGCCTATTGCAATACCGCGTCGTCCCGCCCTCAGCGCATGAGAGGTAGGCTGCTCGAGTGGCATCGGTGCCGGCGCACCATGATCTCCCTCCCTCCCGCTGAGGTGGCTGAGCGCACGGCACTGATCTCTCGGCCTGGCCTGGCACTCTTCATCGGAGCGGCGAGACTAGTGCGGAATGGCTTCGCGGTTGGAGAGATATGCAGCACAGGTGATTGTCGGGACGGCAGCGGGGTCCCGGGCCGTGAGGACGCCAGGGCTGTCTGAGGTCCCTGTCTGAGGTCGAGGAGCGCTGCGGCGGCGAGCACCCTCGGGGACGGAGAGGGAGATTCCGCTACCGCCGCCGGCTGCGCTGCCGCCGCCGGTGGCGTCGCCACCGCTGGGTCGCGAGCAGCACAAGCTGCATCAGGGGCTTGAGCATCTGGAGAAGATGCATCGGTCGCGGCGGTGAGTGGCCTCGGCAGCTTCTGTGACAGCCTGCGAGCCTTCACCGTCAAGTCCCAGAGGTAGAACCACGACCGGGCTTGGCAGCGCATGCACACCTGTGGTGGCGGAGCGCCGCAGCGGCAGAGGCTGGCCATGAGAACCAACGGAGGCCGAGTGCTCAAGGGCACAAGACGCGGCAGTCCATCGGCCTTATCCCCCCTTTTGAATTACGGCGGTTCGGCATATAGGAGGCGTGAAATGCTTGGCCCCACCTCTGATAGGTTGTCTGGGGCGGGGGAAGAAATTTATCGTACATTCACCCATTTCACAGCAACTGGCATGCAGGCAAAATCCAAAACGGGGCAGGTGTGTATTCTTTTTGCTTGGCCGTACATCGATGAAATTCTGCAAAAACCCTGGCCGGCCCCTGCGGCCCCCCTACCTACCTACCTACCTACCTACCTTACTTATGGGAAACTAAAAAAGAAATCACTCGATCGGTGAAGGTGGGGTACTATTGGATCTCGCGTAGTCGGTACACACACACTCACATACACACACACAAACACACACACACACACACACACACACACACACACACACACACACACACACACACACACACACACACACACACACACACACACACACACACACACACACACACACACACATGCCAATGGCATGCGATCTAGAATCGGCTCACGCGCCTCTACTCGCATACGCCATAGAATTGTCACCGCCAGTGAGTGCGAGATAGGTGTCGCAGCGTCGAGCAACACTCGCGGTGTCAGCGCGTCGCGCCAAATCAGTAGTCTCTCACGCCGAGTGATTGCTGGCCTGTGGCGTATGACCTCGCGCGGATATCACCAACAACGAGCATGCGAAGATAGGGAACCATATCTGATGGACTTGTACCGCCCGCTGTGCTCTCCGCTGTGCCACAGCTGCGAGAGCCGTATCTTCCCTCCTTGAAGCAGAGGCGCCGCGAGGCACGAGAGGCGACAGGCGTAGAAGAGAGGCTGGCGTGCCCCGCACCTCCCGGGCGCGGGGCGGCGCGCCGCTGACGCCCGAGGGGGCAAGGCGGCTCGCGGCTTGCCATGCCGCCTCCGCCTCTGCGCCCTTGGCGCTTGGGTGCGGGCCCTCGGCGGGAAGGGGCTTCACTCGCCGCTTCCGCCTCTACCCCCTGGTGAACCCCCGGGGTGGCCCTGGTGATGGGTATCCCATGCTCGCTAGCACTCACCATGTTTGGGTTCCGAGCCTCTTTGGGGGGTAGGATACGCTGCGTGCCAAGCTGGCCTGGGGGCGTCGGGGCGCGCGAAAACATCTCTTGTCTCAAAATACTCAAACTATCACATTAGCACTCAGAGTTCTCAGTCTCCGCTCTCTCGAACGCAGAGGCACGTCGCCGGACACACACCTCCTCCATTTGAATTACGGCGGTTCGGCAGGTAAGGTAAGGTAAGGTAAACTTCTCCACACACACGAGGTGGTGGGGCAAGGGGGGGCAACCCTCGCGTCTCCACGTCTAACGACAGGAGCCCCACGGCATTTAAAGTGCAAGGCCCGGTGCGCGTGGGTGAGCGGTGTGTGTGTGTGTGTGTGTGTGTGTGTGTGTGTGTGTGTGTGTGTGTGTGTGTGTGTGTGTGTGTGTGTGTGTGTGTGTGTGTGTGTGTGTGTGTGTGTGTGTGTGTGTGTGTGTGTGTGTGTGTGTGTGTGTGTGTGTGTGTGTCACGTCACTGCATCCTCTGCCGGTTCCTCCCGTCGCCTCTTCTTTGTTCGAATGTTTTTCAATCCATCCTTCACGAAGCCCTCCCATGTGGCTAGCGTTCTTTGCGAATGTCTCGAGATGGCCAGCAGGCGCTGTCTGCTCGCGGCCTCGCTGTGCGGGCCGCTCGTCCTCCTCGCCCTTCTTTCGTCCTCCCGTCCCTCCCCTCCACCATGGCCTCCTCGGCACTTCTTTCTCCATCCGCCTCGCCCTGCCTTTTCGTGTCGTGCCGTTCGCCCTCCATTCGGTGACTTCCATGGCTGTCCGCCTCCTTTTGGGTGGCGCTCTCGGCATATAGCTGGCAGTAGGAGGGCCCGCCGGTGAGACCACTGATTTTGGTGCCGACCATAAATTCTCGCCACTTGGAACGCATGCTACTTACAGCTGCTGTCTGTACAGAGATGCCAGCACCCCCCACAGGCAGAGCTCTGCTGCTAGGGGGGGGGGGTCTGATCCCCCCAGCAGCAGAGCGCTGCTGCTGGGGGGGGGGGTCCCGACCCCCCCAGCAGCAGAGCTCTGCTGCTGGGGGGGGGGTCGGCCATGGGCTTAGGTGTGCAGGGGGGGTACCGAGCAGTGTGCGGCCGCTCCCTTCGGTACCTCGCCGCCCCCCGTCCGGCTACGGCGGCTTGACCAAACAAACAACGTCGCGTGGCAGCGGGATGGCGTGCGACACGCTCTGCGAGAAGAGCTCGCACGACGTGGTGGCCGCCCTGCTCCGGGCCGTCGACACGAGGCTGACCTGGGCGAGAGCGAGGGGCGAGGGCACTCCACACGGAGATGCCAGGCCAGGGCAGGGCCAGGCCGAGGGCGAGGGTTCAGGGCGAGGTCCGGGCGAGAGTTCAGGGCGCATGTCAGGGCGCGAGGGTCCGAAGCTCGAGGGGGGGGGGAAAGGGGGGGGGGGGGGGGCTGAGGCGGTGCTTGCCGCGCCTGCGCGGCCGTGCACGTCGCAGTCTTGGCGCAGCGCCCGCGGCACTCGGCGAGACTCACGCCCCACTCCGCCCGCCCAAGCCCGCCGCGCGTGCCTCCAGCGACGTGGCACGCGCCGCTCTTCCCGCGCGGCAAGCGCCAGTCGGGCCATGACCTATCCAGAACCGGCCGGTCGTGAGCTCGCTAGTGTGCTGGCGCGGCATGAGCGTACTCGCGGCAGCGGGCACGGCCTGTGGACAACCAGCGAACCCGTCATTGATTCGTACTAGTATGGTGTGACGGAGCATCGCCGGCGGGGCGGCACACGACCGGCGCATGCACTCGAGCGCGGACGCCCATCGGCCCGTCCCGCTGCGCCCTATCGCCGGCCCGCCTGTTCACGGCAGGAGG